CGGGGAAAGTCCCAGATTTCTGACTGTGATTGTACCTAGGCCACTTACAGTCTTAAGATAGATCCTGGAATAAGAAAACTGTATATATTACTTGGAAAAGAGGAGTTTCCAGGATTCAGTAAGCATGTCCATCTCTGTAATGCATTGGGAGCAGGGGAGAACTAGTTACCTGCAAGGAGAAGCACACAAGTCACAAAAGAATGATTCCTTGGAAACATCGTATCAGCATTCCATGTTTTACAACTTGTGGCTTCATCAGTGAAATGTGTTCTTTTTGCTTAGTTGTTTTAGATAAGACCAAGATTAGGTTAATGTTAAATAGAAATAATTACCGCACAGTACTATGTCACCTTTCTTCTTCTTCTTCTTCTATTTTTCTCCTTTTCCCCCCTTTGAATCTAGCCTACATGCTCATACCAGAGTACAAGGCTCTGAGCCAGCTTCAGCAATGCTGTCCCTCTTTTATTACCACGAAGACCAGTGTTGAGGTCCAATGGGAAAGGGAACCAAAGTCTGTTACCTTTCTACTTAAAGATTTGTGCTATCATCTCGTATGTAACAGTGATGTCCTCTCGATGGGCTATGTCATGCTTCCACTTGAGATAATTTCATTGTGTAGCCTACCTTGGCCTTGTACCCATTCTTCCTGGATCAGCCTTCAAATTTCTGTGTAGGATTACATTAATGTATCACAGAGCCTGGCATAAAGTCTGACTAGGGCTTTAGCAAACAGACATTTCAAAATGTGTATTAGTGGGTGACTTTAGTAACCTAGCTCTATTTAATTCCGGTATGGAATTTGGTCATATATCCAAACACATGTTTAAGAGAAAGAGTGATGCAGAAAAGATATGATTTACTCAGGTGTGGCTACAGGCTCCTCGAGGGAGAATTGCAGGTTTTTTTAAGGCGTTATTTAATATAGATTTTTAAACACGGGCATTTAAAAAGGAAATAATAAGACACACAAGTGCGTATAGGGCTCCTTATGGGAGAGCTGCAAGTTTCTTGGCATTAGTCATGCATTCCATTTTTGTGGTTCTCAAATTACATCCCAAAGGGTTACAAAGAACCCCACCACTTTCTCTCTTTTTAATTCATATTTTCACTGAATTTTTGTGCATTTCATACAATAAAACTTAATCATATTTAGACCCCCCCCCATTTGCAACTCTTGTAGCTCACCAACTGAATTTCATACATCTGTTTTATATGTTAAAGCCTATCACATCAGGTTTGTGTAACTAGATGTCCCTCTGAAATTTCATTCGTTGGAGTCTATTCAGTGTATCTAGAGTCATTCCCTTAAAGATCAACTCTCCCTCACCCAGCAGCAATTAGCTACTAATAGTTCCTTGGCTGTTGGGGCCTTCTTCCTATTGCCCCAATTTTGTGCTGTTTTTTTTTTGTTGTTGTTGTTGTTCTAATTGAGTTACATGGGTCTTCTGCTTACTGTCAGTTCACAGTAGTAAGTTCCCAGAGGCCTAGAAGACTCTTTCTTTATGTTCATACAGCAGTCCTGGTTCTTACAATCTTTCCACCCTCTCTTCCCCAATGGTCCCTGAGCCCGGGGTGGCTGAGATTTAATACAGAGTCCTCTCCCGGGTCATCCACTCTGTAGTCCCTTATTCTCTACACTTTGAGTAGTTGTGGCCTCTGTCTTCACCACACCCCCATTTGCATGAGGAAGAGTTTCCTGGTGAGTTGATAGATACATTACTGTTCTTTTCACCCCCTGCTCCTCTATGTTATGTGAGCCTTAGGTGTAGAGATTCCATTATAGATGCGTCACTTAGGGTTGGGAATCATGCATTTATTCTCTGTGTGTGACAAGTTGTGGAACTATGTAATAGTCTCCATCTGTTGCAAAAGGGGTTTCTTTCATGAGTGGTGACTTGCATACTTGTCTGTAAATATAAGAATCAATATTTTGCATAAAATAAGAAATTATGTTTGTCTAGGGATGTGATAGACACAGAGTTTCTTTAGGATCTATGACCTCTCTAGCCATGTGCATGGCACTATGTTTACAGTGCCATAAATAAGTTTCCAGATGTTAACTAGGCTTTAATCCAACTATATCCTCTTGTCCTGAGTGTTTGCTTTATGGAAATTGTCTGCTGAACCTTTCTCAGTGCCATTAATTTTCTTCATTTATTTTGACTTCTGTTATCTTGCTTGTTATTTGTTTGAAAGAATTTCCCTAGATGAAGTGTGGTGAACTCAAGGTTGTGATCCTTCATGATGCTCTTGTTGTAAGCAAGGAGCCACACTCATCGCTCATTCATACAAACTTTTTGCATTTTTTCATTCATCTCGATCAAGATCCTCAGGTAATCTTACTTTCTGCAGAGGTCACCCTATGTTGGGCCTCGTTCCATGATGGCGTGATCAGAAGGCACAGGGCCTGACCCTGGGACTTGGGCCTCTTTGCAGCAAGTCAACTTTATTAAAAAGTTCAGTAGGTTTTTATACAATACAAGGAATTAGTAGCCACGTGGGGTTTGGCAGTTACATACAATGATTTAGAGCACAATTAGATGAGAAACAGGAAATTTTGCTTTTATCTGATGGCAGCTAAGGGCTGTTTGTAAAGCAGGGTGTTTGAACTCTACTCAGGCTTACTAAAGCCTATCTGATAATTCATTGGCCACAATGTTTCCTTTCTTAGGACAAAAAGCTTAGTAGATTTTCAGGTTTTAGCCCAGGCATAAAGTTTTAATCTGGCGTATTCTTTCTGCTAGTGAGCTGAAAGTTACTTGTTCAGATCAAGGAGGTGGTCTAATGGCTGTTGACCAAGATGCTTTCCCTCAGAGCAAGAAGCTTAAACTTTTAACCTAGCCACTTTTCTCCTTCTGGTCCTGCAGTGTTCTGCAAGATGGGAATTTGACAACACTGTATTCAGTGTCCCTCTGTTCAGCAGAGATTGTAAGTTTCAGGTCCATCTCACCCTAGGGCATGCCATCCTAGTTTCTTACCACTTTTGTATGTTTTGTACGTTTTGATGAATGACACTCCAATGCTTGTGAAGATCACAAAGAAATGCCCCATCATTAATGAAACTTGGCTGTCCTTTTGAGTAACCTTAGCTGTATTAATAATCCCTTTAATTTCCACCTAAATTTCTGCTTGCTCAAACTTGTCCTGCCAATGTTTAAAAATAATTTTTATTATTATGTTTATTTTATTCTGTAACTGTACTGCCTGCATATATGTAAGTGCACTGGTGTTGTGAAATGCCCAGGGAAGTCAGAAGAGGATGTCAGATCCCCTGGAACTGATGTTAGACCACCATGTGGGTGATGGGATTCGAATCTGCGTCCTCTGCAAGAGCAGTCAGTGCTCTTAACGGCTGAGCCATCTCCCAGACCCCCAATTTTCTTTTAAGATAAGAACATCGGTACTCACAGTTCATATAGGATCCATCTCATATAGGATTCTGAGGAGTCTCTGAACCCAACATGTCATCAGAATGTTGTGTGCACCTATTTGACCCGTGACAGCAGTGATGTGTCACAGTCAAACCTTTGATTTCCAGAACAAGATGTGTTTTCTCTGCTTTCATGTCCATCTTAGATCAATGTTCAGATCTTCCTGTCTTTGGTTTCTGTCACATAAGCCTTCATGGTGGTCTCTAATGTACCTGATTTCCTGGAGATAAACAAGTGAGCTTGCTCTTTAGAGGGTTACATGGGACTGCTGGTGCCAAAGTAGTTAGCACCTTCTCAACACGTGTGTTGCTGTTTTCAGTGTTTCTTTTTAGTCTCAGAGAACAGTTTAATATAATTAGGAACAGAGTCCTCCAGGCCTCTCTAGAACTTGCTCGTTTGAACTTACAGTAACGATGTACATGTATATTGTAGCACTATTCACAACAACCAAGACAATGAACCTGACTGGGATTCAATCAACAAGAGAACTGATAAAAAGAACGTGTCACACATGTACAATGGAATTTTATTCAGCCATAAAACACAAAATCATGACATTTGTTAGAAAACCAATGCAACTGGAAATCATCATACTAAAGGAAATTAGCCAGATTTAGAAAGGCAAATACTGCATTTATTTTCTCATTTGTAGATCTTTGATTTAACACGTATACACCAATCCGTATATGTATATGGCCGTATGTGAATAAAAACATGGCAGGAGGACTGGAGAACACAAGGCTACTATTTTCATATATGAGAGACTGGGAGAAAAGGGAGCTTAACAGAAACTAATACAGACAAATATGTGACATGCTTGAAAGGATCCATCTATGAAGCCCAGCACAACTTAGGGTGAATAGGCCAATGAAGAATAATTAGTCATTGCTATTGTTTAATAATTAAGTAAATATTTAAGATGAGAGAGAGAATAATCTTTTGGGAAAAAGAGAAAATGGTTTTGTGATGAAGTAACAGGAAATAGTAGTGAGGAGAATACAAAGAATGCAGACCAGAAAAGACTAAACTCTCAATGCTTCCTTGATACAGAGGATGAAATCCCTCTTTCCCCAGGCTTTTCATTTCAAAGTTGTATTAGTTACATTTCTGTTGATGAGATAAAACACTATGACCAAGGCAGCTATTAGAAAGGAGGAGTTCATTTGGCTTACAGTTCCAGAGGTATAAACATTACTGGAAATATCTGCTCTTCTCAATGTTAGAAGAGAAACCACACATCTGACTGGTCCCCACTGCTGCTGCTTTGCCATGGGTAAGTTCAGTTGTGTCATGATTCTGCAGTTAGAGCAAAATGTAAATATATGGAATGCCTTTCTGTACCATATATTTTGTACTAATACTGATATTAATATTCACAAGGTCATAAAGACACAGATACATACATACACGCTACTACAAACTGCTATTTGCTCCTCTCATCCCTGGGAGCTTATTCTAAAGTCACCCTTTATATGTTAATACATCCAGCTTCTGAAAAGCTTTACTAGGAGAAGACATGTCTTGTAATAAAATGACCCTGTGTTGTAAAGTAGGTTGAAAGAGACACAGCTGTTTAAAGGCACATATCCTCCCCTCAGGAGCAGCCCTGGCAAAAAGACTCCCTTTTACCCTTATAGTTTTAAACAGAGAAATATTCAGTTAGGTAAATACGCCAAATCACAGACTATATATGGCTATATATTCTACTTCCATCTCGACTGTGAATATATTTTCTTGGTCTTTTAAACCGATCTGTAAGTACCATGGTGATTTCTCCTCTTTTTGATGGTTCCCACACCTAAGTGTCCCAGGGATTCATACAGGGATATGTGGGGTATCATATCCAAGATCATGACACACTGGTGTCCTCTGTCCCCAGGTGCCTGCTGCAGGTGCACCTGCTGCAGTCATCACATATCTGGCTCCTTACCTGCTTTCTCATTGTTACTGCATCACAAATGCATACTTCTGGAGATGCATTCAAATACCTCGGGGGAAGAGAGTGGAGTTAATAGGAACATTGATAAAAATAAGGTGTACCTTACAAGTCATTCATGAATACTCAGCATTTCCAGAGATACAAA